TACAAATTCAATGTTAAAAGGGTTACTAAAACATTTATTAAACTAATTTTAGTGTAATAAGGACAAGTGTTAAAAGAAGAGTTTCTCTAAAAATGGTTTAGAACCATTTTCTGGTTAGCAATAAGATTTTCCTGTTAAGAGTTGTTTATCTGTGATCTACTAGCCGGGCTGTTCTGAGAAACGATCAGTCATGTCTGCCATGTCTGGAGGGAGCACTCAACACTGCTCCATTCCTGCTACAGCTGCCTGAATGGAAGCATTGTGCCAGTGTGTCTTTTACTCACGTGATCACCTTTCAGACCACAACATTTACATGTTGGGTAATTTAAAATTACACAATTAATCTGGCAGAAATATTACATTCCTGCTGGAAGTGTCCCAGGCTGCACTGAAAGTTTAATTTGTATTTGTAAATAACCACAGGATATAAATATGTATAATGTGTGAAATTCACAGCAAAGGCTTAAAAATATATTTTGACTGGAATTGTTTTAGGCAGAAATCCAGAGCCCCAGAAATCTTGCTCAGATTAGCAGTTAGCTTATTAGTCTGGTCAGAATCAGTCTCAGTTTCTCAAAAATAGGGTTGTTTGAAGAGCTATCTACAGCAGGTAAGATGTTAACTGTTCACAACCTTTCCACAATCGCCCTCCTTTAACAGAGCAGCACTTTCACTTTAAGATGAACTAGAAAAACCTTTGCCCAATACTTTTTATATTGAATTCCACCCTTATTGGGGCCGAGATGGTGTAGAGGCAGGGCAGCCGGCTTGGGACCCGAGAGTCCCAGGTTCGATCCCCAGTCACTGCACATCACGTGGCGTCTCTGGGCAGCACGTCTAATTCCCAAAATGTCCCCCGGGCGCTTTCAATAGCTGCCCACTGCACCACCTGGTGGTGGATGGGTTAAATGCAGAGACTAATTTCGCCATTGTATGGAAACATACAGTGCTGACATTGTGATGACATTATTATTATTATTATTATTATTGATCCTAAAGCCTTGCAATCATCCAGCTGGTGTAGCTTTACTCGGACCAGTGGTTCTCCAACGTTTCCAACCCGGCTCATCTGAGTGTGACGAGGCTGAGTTGAGGATCAGCATCTCCAGATCTGAGGCCATGGTCCTCAGTCAGAAGGGAGTAGACTGCCCTCTCCAGGTTTGGCGTGAGGTTCTGCCTCAACGGGAGGAGTTCAAGCTTCTCGAGGTTTTGTTCTTGAACAAGGGAAGAATGGAGCATGAGACTGACAGACGGGTCAGTGAAGCTTCGGCAGTATTGTGGACTCTGTGCCGGTCAGTTGTGGTGAAGAGGGAGCTGAGCTGTAAGGCAAAGCTCTCTGTTTACCGGTCGGTCTACGTTCCTATCCCTCACCTGTAACCACAAACTCTGGGTAGTGACCGAAAGAACAAGATTGTGGATACAAGTGGTCAAAATGGGTTTTCTCTGCAGGATAGCTGGACTGTACCTCAGATATAGGGTGAGAAGTTCAGTTATCCAGGAGACACTTTCAGTAAAGCTGGTGAAGATTCTCAGTCATCCAGGATATGATAAATTCAAAAAATGTTCAATACAAAAACAATTGAAGTCCAGTTGTTTTTGTATTGAACGTTTTTTGAAATTGAGTAAAGCTGCTGCTCTTCCACATCGAGTGGAACCAGTAGAGGTGGTTTGGGCATCTGGTAAGGATACCCCCTGGGTGCCACCACAGGGAGATGTTCGGGGCATGTTCCACTGAGGAGGAGACGTCGAGGAAGACAAAGGACACTCTGCAGAGACAGGAACAAGCAGAAGATAATAGTTGGATTAATCCTCAGGACCCCACACCTGGTGTTTCATGACCTCAAGTGAGATACCAACTCCAACTTTAGGAACCTTCCATCCATTCATTATCTTCCTCTTATTCCTGAGTCGGATCTCGGGGGCAGCAGCTTGAGCAGGGAGGCCCAAACATCTCTTTCCACACCTCTTCCAGCTCTTCTGGGGGGATCCCAAGGCGTTCCCAGGCCAACTGAGAGATGTAGTCTCTCCAGCATGTCCTGGGTCTTCTCCAGGATCTCCTCCCATTCGGACATGCCCAAAGCACCTCCCTAGGGAGGTGCCCAGGAAGCATCCTTACCAGATGCCTGAACCACCTCAACTGGCTCCTCTCGATGTGGATGTGCAGCGGTTCTACTCCGAGTCTCTTCTGGATAACTGAACTTCTCTTCATATCCCTAAGGGAGAGTCCAGCTACCCTGTGGAGGAAACTCATTTCAACCACTTGTATCCATGATCTCATTCTTTTGGTCACTACCCAGAGCTCGTGACCATAGGTGAGGGTAGGAACGTAGACCGACCAGTAAACAGAGAGCTTCGCCTTACAGCGCAACGCTCTCTTCACCACAACGGACCAGTACAGAGTCCGCAATACTGCAGATGCTGCACCAATCCGTCTGTCAATCTCACGCTCCATTCTTCCCTCACTCATGAACAAAACCCCGAGATACTTGAACTCCTCCACTTGAAGCAGAACCTCAAGAACTTTAGGAACCTGACTTAGACAATAAGAGTTCTGTGGGGAAAAAAAAATAAATTAACGGTGACCTCACGTGTCACCAAATAAAACGTTGCTCCAATACGTGGCGTCTCTGGGCAGCACACCTCATCCCCAAAATGTCCCCTGGGCGCTTTCAATAGCTGCCCACTGCACCACCTGGTGGTGGATGGGTTAAATGCAGAGACTAATTTCGCCATTGTATGGAAACATACAGTGCTGACATTGTGATGACATTATTATTATTATTATTATTATTATTATTATTATAAGTAATCGTTCATGTTGATCAACAAAACAAAGGCACAACGTTCAGACGTTTGATTTCTGTTTAAATCCAGCTTGAGACGAGCACATTACATCATCTTCAGTCAACACGCAGGTAAGGATCTCTGCTCCAGTTCCAGAGTTGTGCCTGAAAGTAAAGTTTTATTACAACCTTGTGAATCATAAAAGCTGACACAGTTCCTGGCAGAGTCTCCAACACTTTGAATGAAATGTCTAGTTGTAGAGCTCTCGTGATGACTGAAGGGACTGACCGCAGCTCTGTTCAACGTATCGGCACAGTCTCAAACAAGACGAAGGTCAAACATCCTCCTCTCCACCGTGCAGAGCAGACAGAGTGATCTGCTCTGAATAGTTCCAGCCTGTTTTTACTGTTAGGTGGAGAAGGTGAGCAGGTGTAGTCAGGGAGAGGTTCTGGATGACGCATCAGAGCAAATATAACTGATCAGATATTACCTTAAAACATCTTTGAGCTGCACAAATAAATGACAAGTAAACAAACTTCTGTGTGGGGAAGAAAATGTACCACTTAAACAAATACACCCATCATTAAAAAATAAAGCCCGAGACATAATTATCTTTAATGAGAAGTGGACGAGTTTGGATAAACAACTTTTAATGGAACTGCCACAGCTAATCAACCATAGCCTGCACAGAAATGGCTGTAGATCTGTAGATTTTACTGATGTTGAGCTAAAATTTGGCGTGATCATCCAACAATGTTCAGTCAGGTCATCTGGATGTTTTTTTTGTTTGTTATTGAGACATGTCGTTCCTTATCCAAAGGACTTCATCAGTCCGAGGAGCCCCAACAAACTCACTCCCACAAGCATCACACTCACTCTGGAGCTTGTGGGACTGAGTTTGTTGGGGCTCCTGAGACTGATGAAGTCCTTTGGATACAGGATGAAACGTCTCAACAAAATAATAAAAAAAAACATCCAGATGACCTGACTGAACTTTGTTGGGTTTAATTTCTGTAGTCTTAAAACAGCTCTGATCTGAAAAGTTTCATAGGAATCCTGTTTGATAAGCCTGTAAGTTGCTGTCTATTCTGTGCTGCACTGATAATAACGTGAAATTCTTTATTTTGCGACATTGGCATTATTATTAGCACCTATTATGAAGATGGCTCTCAGCTACTACCACACCAAACTTAGCTCAAAATCTGTAAACTTAACTAGTTCTAGCCATTTTTGCATAGGTTAATGTCACTAAGCTGTGGCGGCCATTTTAAAATGTGGTTGAGTTACAGGCAGTGATGAATTCTTTAGATTTTATAAAGATACATTCAGTGGTTCAAAGGATGTTTTGCTAACAGTCATAAAGGATTGATGCCAACAGTTGTTTCCAACGTTTCACGTAAAAATACTAATAAATGTGTAATCACAGTCTATGTTGAGGATGATGCTCAGCTACTACCACACTAAATTCCAGCTCATCTTTAAATAAGGCTGGAAATCAGTTTGATAAGGTGTTCAAATGTGGCGGCCATTTGGGATTGGATTGACTCCAAATGATAATCGATATCCATCCATTGATGACTTTATGATAGTGACACGAGCAAATCAATCATCGCTGCTCTGAAACGATTCACATCCAGGATTCAGAGATGAAACCTTTTTCTCAGCGGGAGCCTCTGGGTCAGTTTATCTGTCATTTTAACACAAATGTCTCCTTTCGTTTCATTATTTTGGGAAAGAAATCAAAGAGGAACAAGGAAAAAAACACGTCACATGGCTCCCTCTCTTTCCTCCATCTCAACAAACCATCACTGTAATTCCATCTTCCTGCAGGAAGTTGAACTATTGCCCACTCGAAAACAAATCAAACATTCAAAGTATGATGAAATGATTCAAAACTGAGGCATGTGCAGAAAACACCAGATCATAACTGAAAATCTAAATAAACCAAATGCATAGTTTTTACTTTATCATATACAGTTTTGAATCTGTGTGCTGAGGTCAAATCTGCGGTTGCCATGGTGACTGGATGATCGTTAGCATCGTGCATTATCTTTCATGGCCGAATCAATACGGTCTCGTATTAAACGCAGCGCACAGGAAACAGGAGCTGCAGTATTTTGTCAGCGCAGTTTTATTTTTCTGACTTTGTCACCGAGTGAGACACGTTCAGCATCTGATGTGTCGTTTTTGAACTGTCTGACGGTTTGCGTGTGCAGAAAGGTGCGTGTAAACAAGGACAATGACTTCAAGATGGCTGACTTTATGGGTGTTGTGTCTCTTTGTCCCAGGGAACCGAGCAGCGCCGTGGTTCTCACGGGACGGGATGAGTCTGAGCACCCATCCCAGGGTCGTCTCAGACACAGAGGGAGGTTTGGACTGTCTGACCCCTCTCGGTCTGACCTCCGCCGGGCCCCACCAGCCTTACCCACTCCTGCCCATTCGCCCACCCTCGCGACAACATTCTTCCAGGTCTGGCTTTTCAAAGAAGCACGAACATCTAAACACTAAAGCTACCTGGATGGTCCATAGTAAATCAAAGTGGGTGTAGTCTCAAATGGTTTAATCTGGGCGTACAAAAGCAGATTATCAGTAGGAAACTGGGGCAGAGGGGGAGGATGACGAAACACAAAAGGCCACCTGTACCAACAAGAACCTGCAGGGAGTATCATCATGTCACATATTTAGACCCAACAGAGGAGCTTTGATCAGGAGGCAGTGGGAACAGAAACACCTAATCTACCAGGGCTCTGCTCGATTCAATCTGCTGCAGCCAACAGCTCAGGCCAGCCGGGATTATCGGCTGCAGTAAGGAGATTATCGGCTGCCATGTGAGCTCACACACAGAGCGAGGGAAGGACAGGAAGTGAAACGTCTGACAGAGGAATACGAGTGAATCTGGAGATTGAGCACTCTGGGATTAAGAGATTATTCATATGATTAGGTAACGGTGGGAAAGGAAAAAAAGAAAGCTACCTGAGATTTCAGTTTAATATGTGGAAAATGATCCAGAGTTTTTGCAGCGCATTAGTTCCTTAAAGTCCTTCAATATTTCAAACTACTGAAATCACAGAGTTCATGGACTGCTCTCAATATCGAAGGACTGAGACTGATCTGAGGGATTAGGAAGGAAAAGAGGGAACATAACTCAAATATTAAAAGAGAAGAAGAAAAAGGAGGAGCTGAAGGTTTTAAATGCTAATTTTTCTTTAACTTTTCTGAACCCGCCTCAGTCCAGAAACATTTAAGGGAACGGGTGTTATGGCAACACAGGCTGCTGTTCCTGCGACTAAAGGTCTCCCAGGAGACGACGGAGGTTTCATCATTTCTATGGCTGCAGGAACAGCTCAGCTTCAGCCACCTCCTCCTCCTCTTGTTAGAAACATGCAGCTGTTCGTTTCAGGTTATATATATATATATATATATATATATATATATATATATATATATATTAAATTTTAAATAATGTTTATTTTTATTTTGTAGAGGTGTCTGTTTTTAAAGATCTTAAAAACTTCCAGGGTGATGAAGACACCTTCGAAGATGCTCTACCTCTTGTCTCTGTGTGTTGACATGTCTGTTTGCAAAATATCTCCTGAACCAATAGACACGTTTAGTTGAAACTTACTGAAATTAACTATTGCATATATGTTAATGACTGATAAACTTTTGGTGCCAACCTGATTTTAGATGGTTGTCACAGACAACTGATCTTAAAAAACACAAAAATGGCTACAGCACAGTCAATTTTATACGTGTTAACCTAAAATGTAGCATGGTAGTAGCTGAGATTGATTCTCAACAAATTTCTTAAGCACTAAAAGATTCTGAAAGATATTTGTTTAAAATGTTGCCATTAATTATTTTGAGTCAACTCTGTCTGTCTGTTAGCAAAATTTCTTCTAAATCGCTGGACGTATTTTCATGAAACTTTCAGGAAATAATCAATGGATGAACATCTACTGTGGATCAACACTTGGAGCCCGCTCAATTCAATATGGCTGCTGCAGCCAACTAAAAACACACAAATAGCTATAACTGAGTTTGTCTTATGAAATTTTATTTGGTAGTTGCTGAGAGTTATTTGCAGCACATAATTTGAGCAGATCTCATGAGACTGCACACATTATTTTCAAGGTTTGACCAAAAAGTTTACATTTCTCACCAGAAGTCTGATGTAAACAGTAACATGTGGATAATTTGCACATTACACACAAAGTATTCTCATAGATATGACACAGTCTGTTCACACACAGCTCCAGAACATGAGCAGCTCTGAGGATGTGTCCCAAATAATCCTCCCGTCTGACAGTTCTTAGAGTTTTATGTCTACAGATGCGACGGCCATCTTTGATCCTGAGTTGTGGGCTCTCCTGCTCAAAATACTATGTTTTTATCTGTGAGCACGTGTTTCTTGTGGAAAACAAAAAGAATATTAAATATTGTGAATAGTTAGCATCTTACGTGTTGTAGATAGCTCTTTGAACGGCCTTAGTTTTGAGAAATAAAGTTTATTTCTGTTCAAATCACCTGCTGGTTTGAGCAGAGCTAAGAGCCAAGTGGATTTCTGTCATCTTAAAACAGCTCCGATCTCAAATTGTATATATTGATTCACAAAAAAGTTTTTTTTTTTTATCTTTACATCATTTTTACATTACATAATCACAAAATAAAATTATACAGAATTTGATGGATGTTTGTAAGCTTAAACAGCTGCAACCCCAGTGCAGACGGAGTCACTTCCTACAGGAATATCAGAAATTATTCTTCCAGAATAACAGACAGCAGTGTAATACTTTATAAAATAACATTTTGATCAACTGCTAAGAAATCATGGATATCTGAGTTCATTTAAGATGAAAGCAATCCACTTTAGACTTGACCCGGCTCAGACCGGGAGATGAAAGCCCATCAGTTTTGTCAGAAATAATCTTTATCTCTTCAAACTGCAGCTGTTCAGGAACCATCTGCAACAGGTAAGATATTAGTTGTTCACAATTTTTAAACATATCACAGTTCTGGTTCAAATGAGCAGGTTTTAGTTGCAGCTCAACGTCTCAGTCATCTGTTTGCTTCCTGTTAGAGCAAGTTAAAGTTAAATCTGCAGAGAGCAGATTCCTGTGGGTTCACAGCTCTCACCGTGGGACTGGTTTTAATGGCCCACAGATGCTCAGACGGAGAGCGAAGAGCAAATATTTAAGTAATGATGACTCAGTCGTTTAGGTTCACGTC